CGTGTTGAAAGCACGCAGAAGCATCCATATCTTTGAAAAAACCCCGCACTCAGGTGGTACTATGACATTGAGAGACGGTACAGGTCTCAGAATGGCTCCCCGGCTTGCCTTCAGCGTTGTAAGTGAGCACAAATTGATAGCAAGAAGATTGGCGAGTAATGATATGGCAAGACTATGCCGTCCATAAGCTCTGCATGGCATGGTCCCATCTACTCCACTGCCCAAGACTCTGTATCAAAACCTTGTCAGAGGGACTCCCGCAAAGGCACTCGTGTCATTGAACAATCGCCTTCCAGGCATCATGTACGACAAGCCACCGGCTGACAAGATTCTTGACCTGGACCATGCCATGGCCATTTGCCTGGCAGCTCGGATGTTACACTGTGGCGGTTGGGGTTTCTGAAGGTCGCGGGTCCCTTGAAAAGGGCCACAGAATGAAGGATCGTGTTTGTTGTGATTTTCTCAGCGAATGGATTTCCACAATCCGTGTCTCGTTAGCCTTTACGGTCTAAAGCACTTGCTTCAATGTCTGCAGCAAGCAGACTTTGTTTGGCCATGGCCCTGCGGGCTGTTGCGGAGTTGTAACTTGATGGTTGGAGCGACCCAAGGAATTCAAGCGCAAAGTCGAAATGATGACACACGGTGTTTTGGCCAGATTATGCTGGCTCCGGTGATGCTAATGTGACTGTGTTGGAACTCAAGGAACTGTTCAGGAAGATTCTGAGCGAAGTGAGGACTCAGATGACCAGGTCGGCCTGGACAAACCTGCGATGTACACTTAGAAAATCAACTGTGCTCGAAATGTGCCAGTGAGGAGGTGGCAGCAGGAAGCCGAGCATCCAGAGATGAGCCTCAGTCCGCAAACTCGCAAACTTTTCTTGGTGCATGCTTGTTTTGTTCCATCTTGGTCGACCGGAAGGAAGCATCAGAGGAGTTGAGAGTTTGGAAGTGGTGCAGGAAGTTTGACAGACCAAGGATGAGACGACTCCCCTCCAACGCCATTCAAAGCGAACAGTGCTCAGTCTGATGCCCCTTCTGCCGCTGTATAGTAAAAGATATTCAAACGCATTGTCGGGCTCATGTTGTCTCATGGGACTCAGGAAGCCAAGCGGATCCCAACATCACAGTCAACAGATTGCCATGGAACTTGGTCAGCTTTGTGACGCGGGCCATCCAGCTGGTATGGAAACTTGGATGAAAACTGATAATCTCTAAGGTGGACCCTGATAATATTTTCAGATGCGGTAGATTCTTGTACGCCTCAAGGAATTCGTTGGAAGCGATTGGCGATTTTGTTCAAGTGTGGTCACCTGATTTTTGAGGCTCGGCCTCGGCATCATGGCCATACTCAGAGAAACAAGAACCCATGTGTTCGATTGGCAAGCGTGCCGTGGCTGCAAGCCTGAGCAAGGGTCGACATAGATCGTCCTGCCTAAGCTAGTTGTGCAAAGCCGCTTCATGACTGTGAACGTGAGGTCGCACATCATTGAAGAGCGAAGACTTGCCGCCAACCAGGCTCTGAATTTCACCCAGAAATTGCATTTGTTGGGGGAATTGCTCTGGTTTGTTTTTGGACTTTTTTGAGGTACGGCCTACGTATGCCTTTCGTTTTTTTGCATATTGCTCCCCGCTCTTTGTTCGTCTGGTTTTGCTTTTTGCTTTCTGCTTAGCTTATGCGGATCATTTTATGTGCAAAGGGTGGAGGCTGTGCTCGGCCCCCTTCTTACTTGCTGAAATTCAAGCTTTGACATGGTGCGCATTCATTTTTCATTTAAGCGAAACTCACAAGAAATCGCCAAATAATTCTGGATCCTTCTCCCTTACCTTTAGGAGCCGGAAGCTGTCTTTGAGCAGCTCAATGTCACCTGGCCCTACGGCCGCTTCTTCCGTCCGAAAGCTCTGCTGCTTGGACTGGAATTGAGTGTCTGAAGATGTGGGGGTTTCCCAAAATAGGGGGACCCCAACACACCCCAAGATACTATAGGCCTTATTATGGGGACCCCCGAAACATTCATATTCAGCTTGGAGAGTTTTCCCAATCTACTGTAGTGCCCAGGTCGTGCCGATCGGATGGTGCCATTTTGATCGACTCTACTTTTGCTCAGTATTCCGTCTTAGCAGCTCGATTGTGTCTAGCTTGACGGCCTGTGATAATCAAAGTTTGCGCCCTGCAAACGGTGAGCAGCAAGGATTCAGCAGAGCCGTTTCAACTGACGGAATTACCGAAGCAGGACCTTGCTTCCAGGATTTAGGCGGATTTTTTTGTTTTGGGTGGCGCTAGCTGCAAATCACCTTGCATCTTCTTTGAGGAGGCTTTGGGTAATTGGCGGCTCGCTTGCGACAAAACTGGTCTGGACTGCCTCTGGATCGAGCAGAAGGGTGAGACTCTTCTGCTTCATGATGCCAACCGTACTGCTGGCCTAGTCCCAGCGAAGCTCGAGCTAAGATGCTTAGCAGCATTCCTAAGAAAACAAGGACGACATCCGGTTCCTGAGTGTGGGCTCGCGCAGCTGAGGTCTCACTGTCGGAAGGCATCGCTGGCGATTTCTGGCTGGTTCAGTGCTTCCTTGCAGACTACTTGAGCGGGATGGTCAGGAGATCCCTTCGCCGCTAGGCAAAAATGTAAACATGTTCGTGCTCATGCATGTTCAGCCGATGTCAGGATCTTTGCATATAGAGAGATTCAGCTGGGAAAATGCCATGAGGGCACCAGGTAAGCATTACATGCCCCTTTTGATTGGGAGTTGTAGCAATAATGCTAGGTAATTTTGACGCCTCCCTCCGTCCACTCCTCATTGGGAAAGGTGGCAGGGTAGCGGGCAGCGTAAGAGGGAGGAGGGGGGAACGGCGGAAAGGGGAAGGCAAAAAAGCCAGCCCACTGCTTCAACGGGTTCTGCTGCAGTAGAGCCTTCGCTGCCGCCGTGTGTAAGGGCTCGTGATTTCGTGTTAGTCGGAACTTCAACCTGCTCACGATTGACGCAATGAGGCTGCCAGAAACTCGAAGCAGGGCGGATGTGAGCATTTGGACACTTTTTGATAGTTTTTTTGCAAGGGAGATCACGGGATTTCCTACATGTCAGCCTATTTAGTTTTTCTTTTTGCATCCCCATTGAATAGCTTCCTTGCAGTGCAACTATAGTGTTGCAACACTATCCATGGAAGGTTTGCCAAAAGAGGGGGTGGGCAGGTGCACGCGAGGGAATCCTTGATCTCATTTCGGGCGTCCAGATCACACTCTATGCCCCCATACTGGCTTGAGCGGGTGGTGTGCGGGTTGTGGTGAACGAGGAAATGACTTGTGCAATCAAGCTCGAGCCGATCATGAAGCCGAGAGGCAGAATGATGCGGTCCATGCGGTTCAATTGCGGCCCATGTAATGTCGCGGGGGCAACAAGCAAACCATTATGACCGCAGCTTTGGATGATTAGAGTACCAGATCTCCTGCCCCCCTGGACCAACTTGCTGGGGATAATGTAGTTGACAAATTGGAGGACTTGCAATCACTTCAGAGGCTTCCACTGGACTAATCCAAAAAAAAGATCCAATGCCTGATACCTCACCCCTGCAACATCTCTCGCTTGACCTTCAAGCGCTCTAGTTAGTAGCGGCTTTCAGCACAACGATGCCTGGCCACAGCACTCCTTTATGAGGTGGAAGGTGGAAGGTGAGTGATCTGTTAACTGAGATACATGATTCCGCTTTAGATGGATGGTACGGGACTGGACAGGTGGATCCCTTATTCAGCCTTATGCATTCCAGTTTTTCTTGGCGGCGCGAACGGGCATCGCACATAGGCGGAAGAAATGCCGGAGGCAGTTGTGCTATTCAGGCATGCTGCCATGAAAGGCCTTTGCTACATTTTTATGCTGAAGGGGCTTCTGTAAAACACAGCTCAGGTCTTCATCAAAATCCTGCCTGTTCATGGCCTTGAGTGATGGCACCAAAGAGATCAGCATCGCCACAGCGGAGCTGCCAAAGAACCTTGGCAGCTCTAGGACCTGCTTTGCCTCCCAAAGGCTTTCTCCAAAATTCCGGCTCCCTTTCGAGAGTCTCTAGGCTCTACCATTGTTTGGGAGATGTGGTGCCAGGACACGAGATGCAGCGAGCCCTCCCAAGATGAGACTAAATCTGCGCTCGCAGCTGACACCTGAGCTGAAGAAGGCAACCTCCAAGGAGGCGCACTCCTAACAACCCTAGTTCACTCCACCACCAGCCCCCCTGTCGCAATAGCATTCATTGGTGAGATCCTGCATCTCAAGTTGTCCAGGACCATGCAAGCGCAGAAGAAGTGGACGCAGTTCATTTAGATTTCGTCCAGGATGCTGGGACCACACTTTCGCGCATGTTCTTTATCCCAAGACCAGAACCCAGTGACTGAAAAACAGCCAAACGGAGCTTGAGCTCAGGAAGGGTGGTTGTGGATTCTGGTCTCCAGCGGCAGGCTGGAGCTTTGGGATGCCATGAGCCCCTTGGAGAAAGCTTCGATCCCTTCGGAGCTTGTGCAGAGCTGCGCTGCTGCGCTTGGACTAGCAAAGGCAACCGAAGGCTGAGCCGCGTCGCCCATTTTCCCAAAGGCAGCTTTGCTCAGGTCTGTCCAAACATGGTTCGACCTGTGTGGAGTGCAGGCTTCCGCGGCACAGACTTCTGCGTACGCCCTGATGGATCGCTGCTTGTGGTGGGACGAATGCAGGAAGTGCCAGCGCTCCTTGGGGCGATTCCAAGAGATGGGCTTGCGTGGTTGTGAGTTCGAAAAGAGGGACTTGTTCTGCACGTTGTCTTCCAACCTGCAGTGCGCGTGATGCGGCAGTAATCGCGATTGGCATCCATGCTCAAGCTTTCTGAGGCATCTGTCTAAAAGGAAACAATATGTCATCTTGCCAGAAAGGATCTTGTGGCTTTGTCTCAGCATGCTTTGACTTGGCAGCTTGCTTGTGAGCTGCCTGGCTTCTTGCGTGATCCCTTTTCAGATGGTAAGACCCACTCTGATGTGCAGTGGCCAGGTCGTTCAGCACTTCGTGAAGTTCCCTGGCTTCGAGGCCCACAGTCATAGAGTGTTGCGGGTTGAAAGTGTAACGTAAAGCAATCTCTGGACTGACCGTGTAGGGGGTCCCAGCTGGACTCGGCGCCGTGACGACCGCGCCAGGGGCTCAGAACTCCGTCGGAAGGCGAGGTGGCAGCCCACAGGCCCACATCTCTCGTCACCTGTTTCAGGCCGGGCACCTATGGCTTTGTGGTGTCCGCCCCAGCATGCGAGCAGCGGGAGGGCAGTGGTGGCTACAGCAAGAAAGACACGGGGCAGTCTTGTTTGGCAATCAGGCGCTCTTCCTGCTCAGCGGCGCCATGGAATTGGGCGTCTGGACTCAGGATTTCCTTGATCCTCCACCGCACTCACCAGACTCCATTGTCCACTGTTGAGTCGAAACGACAGAGAGAGAGAGTTCAGTGCAGGACCCCAGCAAGGAGGCCGGAGACTTCGGTGATCCCCTGGGCCTGGAATCCCAGTGCCGCGGGGCGGGTGGCAGCAGTGAATTTCAGTTCTTGGGTCCCTGCATAGG